CTCCGGTACCCTCACTCACACGACGAAACACAACGCAAGCGTTGCTTCACGTCGGTTTTCTATGAAAAGTTGGTTAGTATGCTCATATAATCTTTTAATTTAAAGTAAAATTGAAAAATATATATATATTATTACTACTTGCGTTTGTTTATAAAATGTTATTTACAGCAATAAAGTACTCAAAATCTTTTTAAACCATTAACTTGTTCGTGGAAAACTAAACATACTTCTCCTGACTGCGTATTATAAAACCTCGTCTATATTTAACTGCGTTCTCATTAGTTACGAACTCATTTTGTTTCTAAGGGCTTACCAGTTAATGTTCCGAGACCACTCCTGATATGTAAATTCTAAATTCAAAATCATTTTCTGCTCACGCCGCTGTCGACCAAAACAAATTTTCGCAAGACTGTAGAGTAGTGAGGGACAACTCGTGGCCTCACTGGCCCTGAGCTGAGCAGACGAGTCTTCAATTAAAACCTTATCCTACCAATATCTACGGTTGCATTGGAGCTGTTTACTGCCCGCCATAAATCGCATATAATTATAGTATGATGTAACTATGAACAATGATGAAGCGTCCAAGTTTTGAACCAAATTAATGGTTACAACTTTTTTCAACTTACTCGTTCTTTCATTTTTAAGTATTGGAGAGATTTTTAATATTCAATAAAATGAGGGCATACAATTATTTACAAATATCAGTAATTTCATCTCACTGTAGTTGTTGTAATAATGAATCTTTGCAATTAGACCCATAATAATAAAAGCTTGTAACTATAAGAATGAGCAGTGCTATTTTGGTATAAAAATGGTCTCGCACTCGAAGACGAGTCGAATAATCTTGAAAAGGTTTCATTTCATCGAAAATAAATTGTGATAGCGCTAAGTTCGTCGTCGAGTATTATTGTTTTTTTAAAAAATAGTAAAGCTGAAAAACCGATGTTATTTTTAAACTCTTCTAGTTTAAGCATTATGAACTTTCTAGAAGTTTACTTATCTTAAATACTTGTACTTATCTTAGTTTTCCACGACTTTATAGTATATATCATCTTCGTATATAGCTTTCAGAAAGTGAAATATTTTTCATGATACGATCAGTATTTACCCCTAAAAAGATTACCCCCTACAAACAGACAAATAAACAATTTGAAACTTTACTTCTTTATAAAAGTGTTTGAAATATTTTGCACAAACATTTATTCTCGAATTATACATACTTAATTATAATTTTATAATCACTATTATAGAAACTACGTACAAAAAACCACATCGACATGTAATACAAAACAACGTCTTTTTTTTTGTAAAATACTATGCTGAAAATTTAAATTGAACTAAACCGGAAGCACCAGCTTTCTAGTAAAAAAAAAGAATCATCAAAATCGGTCCACCCAGTAAAAAGTTAAGAAGTAACAAACAGAAAAAAAAAACAGACGAATTCAGAACCTCCTCCTTTTTTGAAGTTTGTTAAAAATAAAGACATGTAAGTAACAAAAATAGTAACAGATAAATTTCAAATATGCATAAAACACATGATCTGTAATAGAAGTAAATCATTTTTGATTGGGCACATATAAATTTGTTTTATAATCAAAATTATAATATTTAAGTAATTAATTTACGAAACTTTTTGGGATGATGAAAATCTTACATAAGATTACACTATGGTCTATAAATTTTTATTAGCTTATGTCGCATACCTGTCTCACGAGGATATTACTCGTAATTATCTTTTTCACTATTAATTTATGACCAAGGTGAAATATTTTCTTAAATTGGAGTGGTTTCTTTAATATTATAAGTGTTATTTTCGTGTAAAGTAAAATTGGAATCAATTATTATAGTTTAGTCACCGGCCTGAAATTGGTCTAGCAAATATTACTGTAGCGTAGCGTGTTTTTATTATTTTGCAGGCAATCCACGAAGAAAACATTTTTCAAACGTTTTCAACTTTAGATTTAGATGAAAATTTGTAATTGTTATATTTAAATGAAAAGTTTTAGGTCTCAGGTAGCTCGATGGCCAAAGCAATCGCGTGGATTCTGAAAGGTTAAAAAGTAGGTTCAAGACCCATCTCGGGATGACTAACATCGGTGATTTTTAAGCATTTTCCATTAATACATAGCTAAACTTATCATCTGTCGATTGGATCCGATTTAATAATAAACCTTATAGTGCCATCAAATTAAAGGCTTACACAAGCACTAAGGTATGCTTCTATGCAGTAGACGCTGCAATACCGTTATTTTATTTTTATTTCAAAGACCTATTATAAACCGCCTTTGCTGTACTTAAGACAATTTCGCAAAAGCCACTCAGAGAATAGATAATCATACATTTAAAGTCTTGAGCTACATATGATTGTTATGAGTTATGCGCCGATTACACTACCCAATATATCGGGCCCGATATATCGGCCGTGATTTAGGGCGGTTGGTGTCGTTGTGATTACACTGCACTAGATCGCCTCCCTAACTCAGTTGGCGTGCAAACATGGCGTTGAAAGGATGGCTCCTCCGCTCACAAAGTACCAAAAAATTGGCATAGCCCATACTTTAACTGCGGGCGTAAATAATAAAACAAAATGTTGAGTGAAAAATATTTGCTTCTAAGAGACCAAATATGCAGTTTGAACTACTGCAGAATGAGTTTTGCACAATTTGATCATATATTAAACTTAGTCATACCTTATATAGCGCAAAACAGCGGTTAGCTGTGCTGTAGCCTTAAAATTTTTAGCAACGGGAAATGCATATCATGACTAAAAGTATAAATACTCAATAAGTTTATTGTTTCCATAGGTAATTTAAAATTATATTACATAATTAAGTTAGTCTCACTATGGACCCTATCGGGCGCAACAATAATATAAAGGAGGAGCATTAGTTTTTATTATTGTAATTTATAAAACCTTAAGAATACATAATTATAAGTTTTCAATTTCGCTAAAATCATTGATATCAAAACCCCTGCTATAAAAAATTGTACCAGACACATGCAGGGCTATCTAGAAATGTTTAAAGCATTATATCATATTAATATATACAATATATATAAGAAAAAGTAATAATATTAAATTACATTGAATATTATTTCTTTTCATTTTGAGAAGACATTTTTCTCTGTTCGCAAATTTCGTTGTCGTTCACTGACTCTCTGTTCGCAAATTTCGTTTTCGTTCACTGACGTCTCACACGCACGCTGCACAATAACCGACTGAGCGCTCTAACACTCTAACAGCGATCACATTACCCGATAAATCGGCCCTAACTCTCATCGGGCGATCGATAGATTGGGTAGTGTAATCGGCGCATTAGGCGCCTATTACACTACCCAATCTATCGGGCCCGATCCATCGGGTACACTGTAAATTGGGTAGTCTAATCGCAGTTAGAGAGTTAGACAAAAATGTCTTCTCAAAAGGAAAAGAAATAATATTAAGTGTAATTTAATATTATTACTTTTTCTTATATATATATATATATATATATATCAATATGATATAATGTTTTAAACATTTCTAGATAGCCTTTGCATATGTCTGGGACAATTATAAATTTTATATAAATTACAATAATAAAAACTAATGCTATAATAAACTTTATGTTATTGTTGTGCCCGATAGGGTCCATAGTGAGACTAACTTAATTATCTAATATAATTTTAAATTACCTATGGAAACAATAAATTTATTGAGTATTTATACTTTATAAGTTAACTTATAAGTATACTTATAAGTCATGATATGCATTTCCCGTTGCTAAAAATTTTAAGGTTACAGCACAGCTAACCGCTGTTTTGCGCTATATAAGGTATAATTAAGGTTAATATATGATAAAATTGTACAGAACTCATTCTGTAGTAGCTCAAACTGCATAGTTGGTCATTTAAAAGCAAATATTTTTCACCCAACATTTTGTTTTATTATTTACGCCCGCAGTTAAAGTATGGGCTATGCCAATTTTCTGGTACTTTGTGAGCGAAGGAGCCATCCTTTCAACGCCACGTTTGCATGCCAACTGAGTTAGGGAGGCGATCTAGTGCAGTGTAATCACAACGACACCAACCGCCCTAAATCGCGGCCGATATATCGTGCCCGATAGATTGGGTAGTGTAATAGGCGCCTTAGTCTCGTTATATTGGCACCCAACTTTTCACTGTTAACATGTTATAATTTGGATAATATTTATAATTATTGTACTTTCTTCATATGTGTTTCTTTTTGTAGCTAGAGTATCGAGAGATTATTATAGTAAAAAAATAAACGCGTCACTTCAACAATACTGATTGTTAATGAGGACCACAATTATGGTGACAAGTCATTGGTGAATGAAAATGTATCTGATAAACATTACGCTTAGCTTTTAAAATCTTTTAAGTAATAACTGTTTGTAAATTATCTATTTTGGAATAAACGTTAAGTATTACGTACCTAGATCAAATAGTATCGTTATCCGAGACGAAAAGTGAATAATAACTAAAGTAATCTAAAATAGAAGTGTTGTGATATTGAAGATAAAGTATCACATTTTGTGTAATAATTTTGATTCAGTGAAGAAATAAATACATACTGGACTTACTTATGTGTTAACAACTTAAGTACAGAGTCGTTTTTAGTGAATTGTACTTAAATTGATGTTTTTATACATAAAGTGAGGTGAACAAAAATTTATGTAAACAATCTTACCTACCTAGTTTATAATAAATTATGATCGCCAATGTTGAAGTATATCTTAATTTCATCAACACAATCGTGGTCGTCTTGACATGGTTGGTTTGTGCATCGGTTGTCACCCAGTGAGAACGTTTTCAATTCTACGCAGCTGTTGTACTTTTTTCTATTTGTTTTGAGTATTGTTATTCTCTATTGAATACAGCACCGATCGAACCAAAAAAAAATCGCTTTACATCCAAGAAGATTAGATAAGAAAAAGGTTCAACTATTTGTATTACTTACTGTTTCTGAGAGGAATAATTATAATATATATTTAAAAAGAATGGCAAAGGTTTATTGGGGCTGTTGCGATCCTGATAATAATATGAATGGTGATAACAATAATGATTTTGTTACATGTTTAAGATGTAAAAAAAGATATCATATTGAGTGTATATCAATTAATGAATCCTTTCTTTCTAAAGAAATACGCGCTACATGGAACTGTCCCGAGTGTGTTAATAAATTGCCGAAGTCTAAGAAAAACGACAGCACACCAATTCGAAACACATCGAATAATAGAGGCAATAAAAGACCAGCTTTAAAATCTCCCCCAGGAGATACTTCAAAGTCACATATAACTCGTGATGATATTCAGGACATTGCCAACGACGACGACGAAGCCATGACCAAAAAAATGGATGAAAATTTCCTTAGAATGCGCCAAGATATGATTAATGTTTTTAATGAAACATTAAAACCAATCAATGCGGAGCTATCTCAAATCAAAGAATCTATGAATTTTTTAAATGGTCAATTCGAAGACATGAAAAAACTAATGAGGTAACTAAGGAACATGTTAAACAATTGGAAAAAGAGAATATGCATTTGAAAGATAACATTAAAGATCAGGGTTTTCGTTTGGGTCAAGTTAAACAGCAGTCTCGTCAGAGCAATATTGAACTTCAATGCGTAACAGAGTATAAGAGTGAAAATCTCTTACAAATTATTGCGGCCCTTGGGAAAACGGTTGGGTGTGTGCTGGACAACGGCATGATTCTGAATTACACTCGTACAGCAAAGGTGAATCGTTCCAGCACGCGTCGCAGATCTATTATAGTACAGTTGGCATTAGTAAGACTGCGTGACCAGCTGCTGGCATCTACTATTAGCTACAATAAAGCAAACCCCAAAAATAAGCTAAACAGTTCTCATCTGGGACTAAATGGTAAGCCTTCTCCGGTGTTTATAGCTGAACATCTCTCACCGACAAATAAGGCTTTGCATGCAGCAGCCCGACTAACTGCCAAGGAGAAAGAGTATAAGTTTGTCTGGGTGAGAAATGGTAAAGTGTTTCTAAGAAAAAATTAAGAAACTGATTATGTGATTGTGCGAAATATGGATACTTTGAAAGACATTAAGTAGTAATACTTTGAAAGACATTAAGTGAAAGACATTAAGTTTTAATTAAAAATGTTGTATCTTTTTTTCTTTCTTATTATTAGTACTTGTATGTAGTAAGTAAATGGTTAAAAGAGCTAAATGTATTAATATATATTATCAAAATGCAAGGGGTTTGAGAACTAAAACACATAATTTTTATCGTAATGTAGTATGTAATGACTATGATGTTATAGTTCTGACTGAAACCTGGTTAAATATTTCGATTTTTAATGATGAACTCTTCGATGGAAGATATGTGGTATACAGAAAAGATAGAACGCTAAGCAAATTTAATTCAAAAAATGATGGAGGTGGTGTTTTAATCGTCGTTTCAAAACGAATTCGTTCAACAAGAATGCATAGCTGGGAAACAAGTTTGGAAGATCTTTGGGTTATAATTGTACAACCTCTTTCGGAAACAATCAATCAAATAGCTATATGTGCCATATATTTTCCACCACCAATCAAACGTTCCGTACTTGAACATTTTGTAGATAACTGTAGCAAGGCTATAGAAAAAACAAATACAGATAGAACTGGTCATTGCATTTTGGGCGATTTCAATTTAAGTTGCATCGAGTGGAGCTTGTTGGGTGATTCGAGTGACTATATTGTTCCCTCTTTATGCCAGCCTTTAATAGATTTTATGCTATTGAATTATTTAAATCAGTATAATAATGTAGTTAATGACTCTGGCAGAATTTTAGACTTGTTTTTGTCTAATTTAATATCATGTAATGTAAAGGCCTCACACAATATTATTAGTGTGATTGATAAGTTGCATCCACCGCTAGATATCGCTATCTCTATAATAAAAGAATCAAAGCTCCCTCAAAGAAAATATGATACAAGGCTTAATTTTTGGAAGGCTGATTATAAAGTGATACACAGGGTATTATCGGAGTGTGACTGGATTGAGCTATTTTATGGAATTGATGATGTTGACATGATGTTGGAAGTATTTTATGATAAGATGCAAATTATTATTGATGCCTATATACCTAAAGTGAAAACTAAATCTAAGCATTATCCACCGTGGTTTGATCGCAGTTTAATTAGAACCTTAATAGAAAAATATAAATTAGACGCCGTCTCCAAAAATATAATAATCCCAGAGATGACCTGGAACTTAAACTGCTAAGTGCACGATGTTTACGTTTGGCCAGTAACTCTTACAACAATCATATATTGAACGTAGAAGCACAAATTAAATGAAACCCCAAATATTTATGGTCTTTTATAAAAGATAAACGGGGCGGCGCTAGCTCTTACCCTAATTGTATGTCAGACGGTATTGAATGCTCGCCAGATCCTGTTAAAATTTGCAATTTTTTTTGACTCACTTCTCGTCTGTATATGCGGATAGTACTGATAACGACACATGTGAAAACTACAAACTTACAGAATACCTGAGAAATATGAATAATTACGGCCTGGTCCTTCCGCTACGCACCTTGATCATGATTCAATTCTAAAGAAGTTGAAGTCCATAGATAGCAGCAAGGGGGCAGGCCCTGATGGAATTCCACCTGTTTTCATATTAAAGTGTGCCGAACACTTAGTGAAGCCTCTCTTAATTATTTTAATAAGTCTTTGAGTAGTGGAGTATTTCCGTCAATTTGGAAAATTGCAAAGGTCGTGCCCATTTTAAAATCTGGTAACGAAACCATGGTCAGCAATTATAGACCTACATATATCAATATTGTCTAGTCTGGCGAAAATTTTTGAGTTTTTATTGTGTCCAATCATACAGATGCACACTAAAAAATTCCTGACCAACCACCAACATGAATTTGTTCAAAAAAGATCCACAAATACAATCCTTGTTGACTTCACTGAGAAATTGCTTGGAGATATTTATTCTGGTGGGCAAGTGGATGTAATATACACTGACTTTAGTAAAACATTTGATCGCGTTCCACATACTATTTTGTTACAGAAGTTATCAGCTTTTGGCTTCACCGATACATTGTTAAAGTGGGTAGCATCGTATCTGGAAGGACGTAAGTTATTCACTGTGGTAAATGGGTTTCAGTCAGGTGTAGAATATATTAATTCGGATGTGCCTCAAGGATTTCATCTGGGGCCAATTTTATTCAACATTTTCGTAAATTATATACCGGACTGCCTAGCATTCTCTACACCGTTCATGTACGCAGATGATCTAAAGTTCTGTAGAAAAATAAAAAAATTGGAAGATTGTCTTTTACTTCAAAAACATCGCAATAATATAATGGAATGGTGCAGCATCAACAATATGGCACTAAATATGAATAAATATTTTTATATAAGATTTGGTAGAAAGCATAGTTTCATCTCACATGAGTACTCTATCGGTGATATTTTGATCGAAGAACGTAAAAATGCTCGTGACTTGGGAGTCTTATTCGACAAAAGATGACTTTTATTCCACACATTGAAAATATTACTAATCGAGCTTCGAGAAACACAAGAAATTTGCGCAATTTCAAGACAAAGATATTAATTTTTAATAACTTGGTACGAAGTATATTGGAGTACTGTAGTGTCGTTTGGAGATCGCATTACGCAGCACATTCTTTAAGAATAGAACGAGTTCAAAAAAGATTTATCTGGCATCTGATGTATTCTTGTGGCACCTCAAAAAAGAAACTCTCTGCATATGATAAGCGGTTGGCTCATTTTAACATGATCACATTGTCACAGCGTAGAATTCTTAATGACGTGTGTTTTGTTTCAAAAATTCTTGTCATTGTGTGGATTGTCCTCAGTTGCTGGATAGAATTAAGATGAGTGTCTCAGCTCGATATCCTCGAAAGTCAATAACGCCTCTAAGTGCACCGTTCCGTAAGACTGTTTTCGAGTCTAATTCACCGGTTGCAAGATTTTTTAAAATAATAAATGAATTCAGTAATATCATAGATATTCATTTCATCAGGATCCGTAAAAAGATCTTAGATAAGTGGAATGGCCTCTTAAGCATTTATACTACATTATTCAAACTCAAACACAATGGGGTAAACTTTGATGTTTTTTTTAAGTCGTAATTGTGCATATTGGTGCATGTTGTGTTTGCCTTTAAGAATTTGTGACAATTAGATAATAATGGTGAAATAAGTAAATAATTGAGTAAGGAATATTGTAAACAGATGTTCGCAAACCTTAATAAATCTGTGTAGCAGACTTCCGGAATTGTATGGAAATCAATAACATATGTGAAGAAGTACAGTGTTTGCACTACCATACTTCTTCACATATCCATTTGGAAAAGTATTGATACACTTCATACATCGTTTATTGATAAGCCAGTAATGTTAAATTTAAATGTTTTATCGTTTATCATAATAGAATACAAATTCAATCAGGTACTTTAAAATTGATTTACTACCTCCTTAGTTATTTTGAATGTTTGACTATTCAAACGTTATTACAAATAATGATACAGGTTTCCCGATTATAGTCTTAATACATTAATCAAAGATAAAAAGCTAACATACGACTTAGTTCCTCGCCTTCGAATATTATTAGATTTAATTGTATTGTACAAAACTGTCAAAGTTAATGAATTATCGGTTTCTTTATAATGATTTGAATAGTTTTTTTTTTCTATTTTATATGATTCATAATAACATAATCTATAGATAATATCAAAAATGGGTAAGTGTGTATGTTTATTTTTTATATCGCCACAGAGCATTGTTTTGTATTCCATAAGGCAGATACGTTTTGCAACGGAGTTATGGTATGGACATGATTGCTGGAGAAGGCTGGAGAGAGACTTCTACTAAACTACATTTTAAGGGTTTACCCGTCTTGGAAGTAATCAAGAGTTGTTTTAACAACTCTTGATTACTTCCAAGATGCGAGTATCAGTTAATTAGTTAGGTTCACAATGTTTAAAATGAAGAATAAATATCAATATCACAAACATTGCTCAGTTCCTTAATTATGTAGACTTTAGCGCTAGTATTATGGAAATCTGAAACATCGAAGGTATCAAAACACTCGAACCATTTTGTATTCTCAGGGTAAATGTTTCTTTTGCACATATAATGAGCTCTTCACTCGCTGGTATTCATCTTCCAAGGGTTGCTGATCAAAGTTTGAGGGCACACCAGCTAAAACGCATGCTATATACCGTCACTAGCACTACGAGAACGAGCCCGGGGTATATCCCCATAAGGGGATGGGTCTCCGGGTACTCGCTTCTTAACGACACTCAGAGCCGAGATAGTGTAGAAAAGTTCATGTTCCTTGATATTTTCTTTGTTACCCATCCTGTGATCGACCCTTGCGAAAGTTTATTAACAACAACCGCAGGCTGCGCTTATACACTACGTCACTGAACTACTGAGTATATATCTGAATATATATCTATTTTAAATGATAATAATAAAGTATAGCTTTGAAACTCTTAATCCATACTAATGTTTTAAATGCGAAAATGACTCCGAATCTGTTACGTTTTCTCGCCTAAAATACTGACGCAATTGTAATGAAATTTGGTACATACAAATAGATTAGACCTCGGGATAGGGTATAGGATAGATTTTATCGCGAAAAATAAATTTAAAAGGGGGTGATAATAACCGAAATTCACACAGACAAAGTCGCGGGCGAAAAGTTAATATTTTATAATTTGTGCGAACGTCGTGCTACCTAAAATTAATCTCTAGAACTATAAAAGAAACGCGTGATGATATGAAATAGTATGTTATTATTATAATTCAAAATCACCTGATGTGATTGTCGGTTCATCTGCACAAATAAATCTCACGGTCATTTAAGGCACGAGCGAAACCCGAGTAATTAGCATATGAACATACTCGTACTGCAATAAATGATATCATTTATCAATATTTTTGTTATAATAATAATTAATAGCATATTTACGGAAGTTAATATACGTAATATCAAACGAAAACTATAGATTCATCCCAAAAATATTT